CGAAACCCGAAACCCGAAAGTATTTCGAGACCCGTCGGGCTCGGGTCGGGTAGCAGACCTCTAGTGTGAACATGGATATTATTGAATTTCATCCTTGAATTATGACCAAATTTGTTGGAAGAAATACTGTCAGACTAGAAAGGTACGTCCACAGGCCGTCAATGGATCTTTCATTGCATATTTCATACATATTGCATATATGGCCTTAATGTTGCAATGAAATGGAAGTAGTGACAGATCTTTTCTTCCATATTGTGATGTATATCCAAACTAAAAAATCGAAAAAGAAAAAATGTAGGACGGAGACTTGGTTCTGTGTATCGGTTGTTGATTGGATGTTGAGATGTGGGCGTTGCGCTCAAAAGTGGTGGAGGCAGTTGAGAATGAGTTTGCAGGGGTTTGGTTTAAACAGACTAAATGATTGGAGAAGACATGTATACGTCAGCAAAGAGAAATCTGTTGTTTTACCTGGTTATGACATTTTGATAAAAAATTGCAAGGTCAAAAAAATTGAATGTGCGCAATTTTATTTGTTCACAATAAGATCTATAGCATGCATCTGCAAATTAAATAGGGTGAATTTCCATTTCATGTCTTTAAAGCTGCAGTCCGTAACTTTTTTTTTTTTTTTGGTTAAAAATGATCTGAAATCAATATTTGTGCAAGTGCATAACCAAGCCAGTGTTCAAAACTATCGCCTTACTTTAGCCCGATTCACAACGGTTAGCTTATAATAATGTTTTCTAATTTGAGTGGTACGGGTAGGTTTTCGAGCTAGGTTTTCGAAGGGAAGTTCGAGCATGCTGCTGCGTCATTACATCACGTCTGTAAACATAAAGATTTAGTCCCGGCTAGTAGGCTATCGCATGTGAGGATCCTGCAGGTGGCGGATCGTTTTATAGCTTTTTCTCACAGCAGCTGGAATAATTAAATGTATCATTTTGATGGCGGATTGTAATCCAGAAAATATTATGCGTTTATGAAACACGTGACTGAAATTAAATTATTCCAGTTTTAAATGTGCATCTGATTACAGATAGCCTGGGATTACACAGGATTTGTATTTTAAAGAGAACCAGTTCGAAGGAAGAATAATTTGCTTTTTGGGTTAAAAGAATTTCCTAATATGAAATTCGAATGATATGACAATTAGAGATTAGACTGTACAGAAATTGAAATCTACACGCTAATACACACTACATACACGTAGTCACGCAATGCTGATGTTGTTAACATTAACAATTTGAGAACAAAGTATAACAATAATAATAATTTGCACGGTTTGATGTGATATGAAATACCATTTTCAACTTTTAAATTAAATATGTTTTTTCCAAAACATGTTTCTATGAGAAAATCTAAAAAAAGATTAATTGAAACAAGTTGTGTTCCGAATTTTAGGTTGATATCTCAAACAATTATCTTTCAGTAATATTTTATTTGTGCACAGTACCAAACGTTTCCACTAGATAATAATTAATTTCGCACATTTTTGACTGCAAGGAGTGAAAAAAAGAAAGTGTGATTTTAATATTATTTTTTTTTTCAGAAACGTTTTAACTTTTCGAATCATGTCCATGACTTTGTTTGTGTTCACATAGCATGTGCCAAAACCTTTACCAACATTCTTACCATTCCAATGAAGTAAAAAAATGAAACATAACATTTTTTTTATCAAAAATGGCCGAAGAGCACCAGAGGGTTAAATGTTTAGCTCCTATTGCATCTTCCTGTGACCATCTGGAAGTGGGTGGTTCAGAATGAGTTGCAGTATGTGCCAGACTTTGTTGTGAAGTCAAAACCTCTGACTAAGCAAGACTAATTTAAAAATGTACAGCATTTTGCTGCTGCTTCATGTGTTTCTAGATCTAATAGCACAGTCATTATGTTTGGTGTGCAGGTTTTTTCACTCTGGATGGTCAACCCAAGAGTATGAGCTGCCCGTCCACTGGTCTGCCAGAGGAAGAGCTGACCCACATCGGACAAGTGGCGTCATCAGTACCCGTGGAGGACTTCACAATTCATGGAGGTGCACTAGACCTACAAAATAGTACATAAATATGCACACATTTCATGCATTCTGTTACTATAATACTGGTCTTCCCTTCACATACAGGTCTGAGTCGTATTCTGAAGGGCCGTGCTGACATGATCAAGAACAGGACAGTGGACTGGGCCCTGGGAGAGTACATGGCCTTTGGCTCTCTACTCAAGGAGGGCATCCATGTGCGTCTCAGTGGCCAAGATGTGGAGAGAGGAACCTTCAGGTATAAAAAAAACCAGTACATTTCAGAATAATCATATAATTATGAATCTAAATGTAGTTGGGTAGTAACGTCTGCACATTTCTGTATGATAGACCATTTTTATTTGAGACACACTTTCAAATGCAGCATTATTTTGGATCTCAGCCCGGTGTAAGAGGTCACTGACCTGTTGTTTGTTCCATATGCAGTCACCGTCACCATGTTCTCCATGATCAGAACGTAGACAAGAGGATCTGCATTCCCATGAACCACGTATCCCCTAACCAAGCCTTGTACACCGTCTGCAACAGCTCTCTGTCTGAGTACGGAGTACTAGGTATTCAGACGCTCGCAGTACATGTTAAAACGATCTCTGCGCTTAAATGAAAGGTAGAGGACGCTCATGGAAACTCATGTTTTCTTTCATTCTGTGTGGTTTTCTTTAGGTTTTGAGTTGGGCTTTGCTATGGCCAGTCCCAATGCTCTGGTTCTGTGGGAGGCCCAGTTTGGAGACTTCCATAACACGGCTCAGTGTATAATTGACCAGTTCATCAGCCCTGGCCAAGCTAAATGGGTCCGCCAGAACGGCATTGTCTTACTGCTGCCACATGGCATGGAGGGCATGGTAAGGCTAGTATTACCCACAATTCATGCCACTTTTCTCTACACACTACTCTGTGTACTGGCAGTAAATTAGTTGATTTGGATTTATTTTGTTCCTTCACAGGGTCCCGAGCACTCGTCTGCCCGTCCAGAGCGCTTCCTGCAGATGTGCAATGATGACCCTGACTTTAACCCTGTAAGACTGTCTGCCTAATGTCTCTAAACGTTAATACAGTGTTGGTATGAACAAAGATTTCATAGTCATTCACCAGAATGGATATATCAATGTACCTTTTATTTTGGCTGCAGAAAGTCACTGATGACTTTGAGGTGCGTCAGCTGTATGACTGCAACTGGATTGTCGTAAACTGTTCAAATCCCGCCAACTATTTCCATGTAATGAGGCGGCAGATCCTTCTTCCCTTCAGGAAACCTGTGAGTTCAGCTGTCTGAGAGCATCTGGACATTCACTGATTCGTCAAATGCATTATTGGTACTTAAATGATTTGAAATTTTAACTGATTTATTCATTTTCTTGTTTTTAGCTTATTGTCTTCACTCCAAAGTCTCTGCTGCGTCATCCGGAGGCCAAGTCTAACTTTGACCAGATGCTACCAGGTCAGAAACTGTTTGTTTGTTTGTTGCTGTGTTTTAGAGGGAAGATTTATTTATTTATTTATTTAAATATTTTATTTAAAGCTTTTCACATTTTACAGAACAAACAGCGGGGTTTAATCCACTGTTAATCCCCCACCCCCCATGCCAGCAAACCAAACAAATGAACAAACAACAAATAAATATAAATAAATAAAATAACAATACATATCTACAAATATATGTAAAAGTACATACCTATACATACCCGTAATCATGCAATATTAATACATACGTGTGTGTGTGTGTGTGTATATATATATATATATATATATATATATATATACAGAAACACATACATGTATCTACACAGATGCATACATACAATATTTACTAAAAATAATTTACATAATTTAAAAATAAATCCATTTGAAAATATAATTTGAACTTGATTTTTTTTTTAAAAGTATACTTTTTGATTTTGTAATTCTATTAGAGTATTTTTCACAAGTAAAGAAGGTAAAAAAAAAAAAAAAAATTGGTAAAAAAATATGTAAATAATGTAACCAAAAGTACACTCCATAATCTGTAAGTCTGTGGGCACAGGGAATTATATTTTCTCAAATAAATACCAGGTAACACTAAATCAACACAGAGTACACAATGAATATGACATAGCAGTAACAAAACATGTGCATAAAACAACATGTAAATAAACAACACTATGTGTGTCTCTTCAGGCACTCATTTCCAGCGCGTGATCCCAGATGATGGACCGGCAACTCAAAACCCCTCAGAGGTGAAGCGCATAGTCTTCTGTACAGGAAAGGTCTATTATGAGCTCGCGCGTGAACGCAAAGCACGCAACATGGAGGACTCTGTGGCGATCACTCGCATTGAGCAGGTACCACCGTCTCAGTAGAACATCAGCAATGCTTGCTTTCTCTCATTCTTGTGTGATGGTCTGATTCTCTCTCTCGCTCCTCCCCAGCTCTCTCCTTTCCCGTTTGACCTGGTGAAGGCTGAGACTGAGAAATATCCCAATGCTGACCTGGTCTGGTGTCAAGAGGAGCATAAGAACCAGGGATACTACGACTACGTCAAGCCCCGCATGCGCACCACCATCGACCGTGCCAAGCCTGTCTGGTAAACTCTCGTCTTCTCATATAGAGCCGTGACACTCCAGGTGCTCTATATTTTCGCCAGTCCTCACTCTGTCTTTCTGTGTGCAGGTATGCCGGACGTGAGCCTGCCGCCGCCCCGGCCACTGGAAACAAGAACACCCATCTTCTGGAGCTGAAGCGTTTCCTCGACACTACCTTCAACCTGGACGCCTTCAAAGACCACATCTAAACCTGTCCTTCAGTCCACAAAGAAAACGAAAACTCACAAACACCCCATTCACCCAGCAACCAAATACATAAAGAATAGCGATACAGTTTATCCAATGTGTTCAGTTTTGCAAAACACTCTCCGTCCTAGACTCACTCTCTCCTGCATGAATTCACAATTAATTTTTTAGTTAATAATGTTCATTTCAAGCCTTCGTCACCACTGTTGCCCAGTTCAACAACACCAGATGATAAACCACAGGAGATAAAAAATCTCTTGCTTAAGCATAAGTAACAGCACAAATGTTGATTTGAATAGACCTCTAATATATTTTCAACCAAAGCACAGCTCCAATCCTGTTAAAAAGCTTCCTTGTACAGTAATCGGCATCAGTTGCCTCCAAACTCACTATTAAAAGACGTTTCCCTAAGCTTTCATGTAGGGTTGTTGGTATCCCTATTCTCAATGGCTATATGGCTTTAATTTGTATATTTGTGTTTTCTTTTGTTTTTCTTTATTGATCATTGTGGGCTAAATTCAGAATAAGGGAGAAATTTGGCACATACATTTACAGTGTCTCATTCGTGGGCAAGATTGTCAAGTAAGTGGTGAAAACGACACTTTATCTGTACCTTTGCACTGTTTTCTGGTAAGAAGAAAAAACAGTTCTCTGTGGTGGATGTTGCAGTTGTATGATTGTATTTATGTAAAACTGACTTTGTATTCAGAGGAGAAAAGACTTGGTGTCAAAATCAGGACTGTGGAAATGTTTGTGGCACCTTTACATGTATGTGCCTCTGTTCTGGTTCCCCTACCATTGTCTGTCGATGGCATTGTATAGTCCGCACACTCAGCTAATCATTGATGCAGCCTGGTGCAGATAAAAACCCCTTCAGAACTCAAATCCTCATTTGCCATCTGATAACGTGTGTCATACAGCCCAACCCAGCAGCAGGAACATTTAATATGGCAAGCAAGACAGAATTACACCTGTTTGTGGTCACTCTTTTAAATAGAAACCTATGACCTCTTTTTGGCTTTTTCAAAGAGAGAGCAAATCATTTTATTTATTTTGTTTCTTTGGAGGATTAAGATTCTGTTCTCATAACGGTTTAGCTTCATACAATAAACTCATTAACTTCTCAAATGTTTGAATTTGTTCATTTATTATTAGTTTAAGAAAGTGGATTGTGTCTGTGATTATGCAAAACGGCATACGATTTTTGAGGACACAACCTGTGCTAGTACTCTCTAGATTGGGGACTTGGTAAACTTACGAAAGGGCTGTAGGATGATTTAAAATTATATAGGTTATATTAAACAATCTAACTTGATTCAAATGCACCGGTGTAATCAACATGAAAAACTGGCTTATATGAGGGGGCTTAAAAAGGTTGAACCACTGCACTGGATCCCTGGCTTCACTGGATGCGTAATGCATGAAATACAGACCAAGCAGTGAGATATTTTTGCATTTCAGTACTAAAATCAGTTACTACCATTTAATGCATTTGTGTTCAGCTTAATCTCAAACACGGGGTGCTCTTACAGGCCCAAATATCCTTAGGATTCCTTTCAAAGTATGATCAAGCAAGCTCCAGGCCGCGTTTCCTACAGCGCGTGTTGAGGGCACGTTCTTAATAAAGCTATTTCATTGGTCCACTTATGTGTCACTCAAAGCATCGAAACGCTCTTATTGGACAGGCGCGGCTTCACGGCTTCCTTCTCTGGTAATGAAATAGCTTAGCGGCCTTCATCCGGTCTTTTCTCCAGTCCAAGGTAGGCAGTGTTACACGGTTCAGCCCAGCACCTTCTTAAACGCAAGAGAAACTAAAGCCATGGCAAGGCCCAGAGTTTTCTTCGACCTCACCGCCAACGGCAACCCACTCGGAAGAGTGATCATGGAGGTAAAAATTTCACGCAATATTCCTAATTTCACTGCAAGGAAAGACTAATGTTCCACTCTCTGGAGTGTGAGTTTGCGCGCGCCTTTGTAATGACACACTGACTTTTTTCCTGCAAGTCGTGCGATCGCCGCACGCGTTAGGCTACTATGCTAATACCGAAGTCCCGCTGAGCTGCAAACTTGAACTTGAATATCCTGAAGTGTTTTGCATGCCCATTAAACAAATCCCGTGATCCCGTTACGCTTAACCTTGCTTGTGCAATTACCTGGCAAACCACAGCAGGACTTCAACCGAACCAGCCAAATAAAATCACGATGCTGTTTGAGCGCGTGTGCAATTTTGCGGCGTTGTGCAGAGAGTAACTTTGATGTTGGGAATCTGGCAGTATGTACGGTTTTAATGCTATCCATAGAACTATACATTATTGTTCATTTCCATAGTGACGCTTTGAGGTGTTTATTTGCATAAACCTATTATTGTTATTTCGGTGTCAGCAAAAGATGCTCCGCGCACTAGGCCGCGTTAACCGGTGTTTCACATAAAGCCGCTGCCCCTTCGTTTAACCCGGATTCCCCGAAGGCGACTTCATTTTGCTCCGACCAAACTTAAGCTTCTCGCTCCATTGAAACGCAAGCGATTGCGACAAAACCGTTCAGCGTTTTTATGTGTGCTTATCAGAAGTCGCAGGTTCCCCGTCTGAGGGGAGACTTCAGGGTTGCCAGGTTTTCACAACAAAACCCGCCCAATTGTTACTCAAACCAAGCCCAATCGCGTTCCCGGGGGTAAAATACACGTTTTGGCAGGGTTCCCATCGTAAAAAAATTCGCATTCCAGGGGCTAAATATCACGTTATTGGGGTCGCTTCAAAACCGCGGATTTGGCAACACTTATTGAGTGGAAAGATATTCTGGAGAGTTCGGCCGCTTCGGGGCGATGGGAGGGACCTTCCTGCGGAGATTTCCCTACACGAGCCGCTAGACTCGTCCTTTCATTGCGGGTGGAGGTTTTTTCTCATTTGAATAGGAGTATTAAGGTTCAGTTAGATGAGACGCTATGTTTCACGCTGCGGTAGTAGAAGTAAATTTCTGCGCGGCCATTTCAGTTCATCGTCTAATAAAACTCGTGGTCAGAATTTCTTCCGAGCTCTCGGAGAGACGTGCGCCCAAATATGTAGTTTGAGTACTAACTTTAAGTGTGAATAACATGCATGATGTGCTGCGTGCACTGTACCTCCAATTAGTTTTTGTCTTCCACATTGTCGCGTTTAACGGGCAGCTGCAGTGCGGGCATATGAAGATGAGGCGCTCAGGGTTGCCAGGTTTTCACAACAAAACCCGCCCAATTGCTACTCAAAACTAGCTCAGTCGCGTTCTTGGGGGTAAATAATTTTTTTTTAATTTTTTTTTTTTTTACGGGTTTCTGATGTAATTCGCATTCCAGGGGCTAAATATCACGTTATTGGGGTCGCTTCAACTCGCGGCAACAAACCGCGGACCTGGCAACACTACCGGCTTGTTTCTGGGTTGTTGCTTTGACGCAATGACGTAGTCACGCACTTGAACACTGCAGTAGTTTTAAATGGGAGTTTTAATGTGACGTTTTTTCTGTTTCTTTTAACAGCTGAGAGCTGATGTAGTCCCTAGAACTGCAGGTATTTATACTTATTTATTATTTATTTTCCACTTGTTTGATTTGAAGTGCCCATCACCTGTCTGTTGTCTTACAGAGAACTTCAGGCAGTTGTGCACTGGTCAGCCTGGCTTCGGCTACAAAGGATCCATCTTCCATCGCGTCATCCCCAACTTCATGTGCCAGGTATGAAAGATTTAGTCCTAGATGCAGGAAATCAACAGTGGCAGGTAACACATCAACTCAACAGCCTGTTTGGTGGGTTATGATTGATAAATGTTGTCCTCCAACCACGAGCCTTGCAAATAAGCATAAAGAGGGTCACACACTGGGGGGGAAAAAAGCACTCAAATCTTTCAAATTTGAGTAGGTGTACGCATAGAGATGCCATTTTGCATCTGTTGGCGTCACCCAAATACAACTTTGGAGGCTGTTCTAAATCCTGCTGTGCCACTTGCGTAGTTATCCGTTCAATTACATTAACAACAATTTGGGTCAAATATGTGCATGTACTGACTTAACCCTATGCTGGAGGATTGTGAATTGTGCGTCTTTTCCAGTACCATGTCTTCAATCAAGAGTATGCTTCATATTAAATAATATAGATCACCCTTTTTTCTTTAAATTAACTAATTCAAACGGTTTAACTCTGACGCCACTCTTGCCTTTTATATTAGTTTATTAGATTCACTGTTCTGCATTTCCGTTAACTGTTTCATGGTGTTCACTAACTGCCAATTTCAATGATTCACAATTAATATTTAAATCTCAGCCGTGACTTTTGATAATCTGGTTTATTTTTAAGATGGTAGAAATTTCTGAATTGCTTGTAACTTAATTTTATTAACCAGATTGGCTGGTGAGTTACTTTCAAACCCTGCCCTGAAGTCTTCTGAGATCTTGGTTAAACTATCAGTTTTGCCATTCGGTTGTAATCTTGAGACCTTTGGATGCAGGGAGGTGACTTCACAAACCACAATGGAACTGGTGGAAAGTCCATTTATGGCCACAAGTTTGAGGATGAGAACTTCACCCTGAAACACACCAGCGCTGGCTGCCTGTCAATGGCCAACGCCGGCCCCAACACCAACGGTTCCCAGTTCTTCATCTGCACAGAAGTTACTTCATGGTGAGCAAAAGCAGTGTGAATGAGCATGTCTGCTGGATCCATGCTGTGGAGCGCCTCCTCCTAACCTCTTTTATTTCCCCTCACGTTTTCTTTTCACCAAGGCTGGATGGCAAGCACGTTGTCTTCGGACAGGTTGTGCAGGGCTTGGATATCATCAGGAAAGTGGAGGGCTACGGTTCCAGCAGTGGAAAGACCAGTGCCAAGATCGTCGTCGCTGACTGTGGCCAGCTGTAAACACCTCAACCACTAACCTTCACCCAAACCCTAGTCTAGTACCCCTCAGTGCTCCCTTTCATAAATCCTGCCGCTAACATTCCTGTCCAAGTTCTACAACCCCTCCCTATATCCTTCAGTCGTCCATCTTTGTCTTTGATAAGTTGCCTTTGCCGTTTTCATTTGCAAATGAAGTCCTGTAGGCCTATAATTTGTGCATCAAAGTCTGAAAATAAAGGGGAACAATGACCTGAAACACTGTTTGTTGCAGTTTGTCTCGTTTTTCACTTTAAGCTTATTTGTTTGTTTGGTTATGTTGCTTCAGGTTAATGCGAGTCACGTTCAGTGAACTCTTTGAGGTTTTTTTTTTTTTTAACTCACTTTTTTCAGAGAGCTTGCTGATCCGGCTCACAAATGTCTACATTTCTTCACTTATCCTTCCTGCCAGGGGTGTCAAACTCCATTCCTGGAGGGCCGGAGCCCTGCAGAGTTTAGATTCAACCCTAATTAAACACACCTGATCCAACTAATCAAGTCCTTCAGGCTTATTTGAAAACTACATGGTATGAGTGTTGGAACAAAACTCTGCAGGGCTCCGGCCCTCCAGGATTTGCAAATGAAGTCCTGTAGGCCTATAATTTGTGCATCAAAGTCTGAAAATAAAGGGGAACAATGACCTGAAACATTGTTTATTGCAGTTTGTCTCGTTTTTCACTTTAAGCTTATTTGTTTGTTTGGTTATGTTGCTTAAGGTTAATGCGAGTCACGTTCAGTGAGCTCTTTGAGGTTTTTTTTTTTTTACTCACTTTTTTCAGAGAGCTTGCTGATCTGGCTCACAAATGTCTACATTTCTTCACTTATCCTCTAGGCCAGGGGTGTCAAACTCCATTCCTGGAGGGCCGGAGCCCTGCAGAGTTTTGTTCCAACACTCATACCATGTAGTTTTCAAATAAGCCTGAAGGACTTGATTAGTTGGATCAGGTGTGTTTAATTAGGGTTGAATCTAAACTCTGCAGGGCTCCGGCCCTCCAGGAATGGAGTTTGACACCCCTGGTCTAGGCAATTCAACTCCCTCAGTGAATCCAGTCACAGCCGTTCGAGTTAACAGACTTGCCATCCAGGGAACTTTAAAATCTGTTAAATCGAGGCTATTGTGACTTCAGAAGTCTTGGAATATAGTACATGTGTGTGTATGTATATTAAAAATAGCCATGGGCTAAATGGTTGATTAATGGATAAGTTTGAGATTAATTTGTTTTTGGGTGAACTATTCTTTTAAGATTAATAGTTTTGCTTAATATTGACATTTAAACAATTTGTCAGTGTCTTTTCTTCCCTACTCTGTCATGTGAGAGGTGTTGCTGGATTATTGTCCCGGCCTATTCCATAAAAGGAAACATGGTGGCTTTAAGGATGTAACTTGATTTATGACGTGACATGTGGCCAAGTATGATTACACATACTAGGAATTTAGTGCTCTGCATTTAACCCATCCTAAGTGCACACACACAGCAGTGAACACACACACCGTGAAAATCCAGTAGGAATGGCCTAGATGTGCACATTTACAAGAACTAACTAATCCTGCTCCGAGGCCATTCACCACTGCACTTTTTACGTCTCCCTTATGCTTAATTCAGTTCCGGAAAACGCGTGAAGTCAGTGCTGACACACCACAGGAAGACGAGGTTCAGCAAACTTATTCGTTGAAATAACAGTTAGCCGTAAGAGGGCGCTCGACTCAAACTTTTACAGGCGTAGGAGCCATGCTCAGTCATCGGCGTTTGCGTTCCAATACATATATTCCGACTTCTACACACTTTAGAAGCAAAAGAATTATAGAAACAACTTTATTTAGAACAACCTCGTCCATCCTCACTTCATAAATGCTTTAAACATATGCCATGACGTGTGTAGTCATGTTTCTCGTGATGTTTTGACCCAGTTTCTCTGCGGTTCGCCAGCGCTTTAGCTGCTCGGCTGGGGCTGACACACGCCCTGTCCGCGAGGACTGTCGGGCTGCGCGCGGCACTGCAGGCTCTTCTCGCAGTCGCAGCGCTCCAGTCGCCGACGGAGTTTGGCGCGTCCCCGCAGCAGGCACACCTCGCCCATCGCGGGCACGCGCTGACACCTCCTCTCCGTCAAGTAGAGCGCGCAGCACAGACCCTCGTCACAGTCGCGCGAGCGCACGCAAGGGGACATCTCGGGCACTGCGGGCGTAGAGTTGTGGTGAGGGTCAGTGAGTCAACTAGTCAAACAACAACAACTGGAGCATATAAAGCTGTAGCTGATGGCGTCACATACGTGTGTGTGTGTGTATATATATATATATATATATATAATGGCTTAGATAAATAACACTTGTCACAGCTCATAACTTTACAGCCAGAAAACGTTTCTAGTTTGAAAAGGCTATATTTTTAGACTTTTAAACATTCTGTTCTGTTCAAATAATGTTTAACTGTAAATAAAGTGCACTTTGCCATTCCAACCGAGCTACACACATTTTAATATGTCCTCAGAAAGGTAATAGTGTTGACAGTTTTACAGTTTCATTTGACATTATAAGCCTCGCACTCAGGACAGTGGAATTTAATACACATTTCCTCTTTTCAAGTATCAGCTGTTTTCTAAATAAAATCGTGGTAGAGGAAACTGTAAGATCATCCCCTTCTGACACAAAACATAAGACAGAGGCATAAAAAGATGATGTTTTAACGTGTCGTTTAATTCAGTTCAATTTTCAGATTGTTGATGTCATTTTGACCATGTTATTGTTGTTTTTTTAATATGGAGTAGTTAATTGTGTGAAATGTGAAAAATATATGGTGGAAACAGATGGTGGCAACCTGAGGAAACAACTTCAACTCTTTGTAATATATTCTATATTCTTAGATTTAAGACAAAATTTAGATTAAATTAAAAATATTTCTTAAAATGACATGTCACACTCAATATGAAAATAGATTACTATAGCCACAACATTGTTCTAGTTTATCAGTTCACTTTTAAGAACTGTTCATTTTGACTTAACAGTTTGATAATTTGTCTTTTTAACCTCTGTTGTGCTTACTGTACTGTAATATCCTATTGTTGACAAAGCAAAATTCACCTGTGCAGAGTCTTTACAGCTGATGCAGACAGAGAATGCACGTTGTTAATGATTTCAATAATGTCTGTCCTTGTCAGCACAGGGAAATTACTAGTAGTTGATCATATATCAATACTTGACCAAAGGTTTGACCCAAAACATTTTAAATTGTCAAAATTATAATAAATAATAAAATTTAAAAAAAACACTGAAAGTACATAAAACTCTATCCTTACCTTTTTGACTTCCTCGCACATCCAACTGAATCTTTGTCTTGGCAGCATTGCGCTGTTTCTTCTTAGAGCCTTTGCATTCAGTTGCCTTGTGAAAGACAGAATGTGAATAAAAACTGCTTAAATGTGAAAAATTGGGACTGCAGGTTTGATATTAATCCATGGTTGGACGTAACTTCAGTAGATTACAGTATTGAACCAAACTAAATCTTACTTGTGCAGTGGAACAGTCTTGCGCAGGAGGTGAAGCGTCTCTGATTCCCTGCACAGCTGAGGTCCTTCTAACAGAATTATGGGAATTTGCAACTGTGTCACTCTGTAGATGCATTACTGACTGGAAGAGATTATCAAACAGACTTTAAAATATGTGATGAAAACAGCACGGAACTAATGACAAGAAGTACAGTTGCTTTGTTTTTACAGATAAAATTACATGCTGAAAATCATAAATACAATATATATATATATATATAATGATTATAATATTATAATAAATGTTATAATACTAATGGCTTGTGTGTTCATTAGCTTTGTGACATTGTTCCAGCATAAACATATGAAGGCAAAAAAATTGTTAAGGTTTAAGAATATATATTCTTACCTCTTGAGAGTTTGTCATTTCTCTGGAGGAGCGGATAATGTTGGAATCCAGGCACTGTACAGCAGAAACAACAGACAGACAAAACATGACATAAACTGTCTGCATGGTTGTATCCAAACTGTCCTGACCGCAATGAGGCTGTGTGCAAGAGCAAGACGACGAGCTCTAGTGGGGAAGAGCAACCTGCTCTGTGTTTTAATGGACCTACGGCAAATACCCAAATTAAACATGAAAAAAAAAAGAAGAAAAAAGAAAGAATGGGTCTTTCATTAGTGGTTACTTTCTGAGTGTTTCAATGTTTATAGTCTCAGCTCGTGTAGGAAGTGTGTAGTGCATTGCGGTGGTAATTAAGGCAAATTATGGCCCATACGCATAACAAAAATGAAAGCATGGCTGTATCTTTCATGGCGCATAAATCCACATAGACCCTTTACACATGTAACACCTTTGAAACTTATAATGAAAAATATGACATCCTTTAAATGACAGCCATCAGTTAACCGCATCAGTAGACTCGGATGTAAGTTGCTTCCTGGTACGGAACAGGTGATTATCTGCACCTTGAACACGGGCTTAGAGGGGGAAACTCAAAAACCACGTTACTCCCCGGGCTAGGAGGCCGATAATAACAGTGACACTACTTTGTTTGACCAATGTGAATATGTTTAGCCACTAAATAAAAATGTCTTGTTCAGCCTAAACATTCCTGTGGTGTCAACTACAGATTTTTTGTTCAGCAAATTATCAATTAGCAATAATATGTCATAGCCTAATTCGTACATACAGCTTTACATGACCTGTGATCTCTGAAATCTTGTAGAACTTGGAAAGGCAAAGTAAGTGCAATAGGATCATTGATGCACAGGGACCTCAAATACACTGACAACCGCAACTATCTATCTATCTATCTATCTATCTATCTATCTGTAGGCTTCTATCAGTTAAGAAAACTCAAAAAATTAAGGCAACCAGCTTAAAGACCTTTTTTTTTAATATATACTGAACTAATTGAAAAAATTGTTGCATCAACTTGACATTTTAAAGTTGGTGTTACATAAGCTCAAACGTATTATGAGGCTGAGTATTAATATTGTGTATTACTGGCATAAAATCACTATCAGTTAGTTGTGCAAATCTAAAAGCTCATATACAGTTAGGCCTACTTCAATGCACCAAAATTAATGTATAGTACTTTTATGTTTTTACTTTACCAAACTGAACACTAATCACCCAAATGATGACTTGAAACAAAATGTCACATTAAAAAAAATAAATCTATTCAAAACATTATTAATTATGAATAACAAATATTTACATGTCCGCATAAAGCT